CGAGAATGAAACGACGGCGGCCTCTCGACACAAACCGACGCGATGACACAGAAAACGTACCGCAACTGCGGAAACTCGTCACTGCGATGGCAACGTGCCAGTGTTGACACTCACCTCATTAGCACGGTCTTCTAATGAGTTTTCACACGGCGAAGTTGAAGGAGTCGCTGAAGGCCACTCACCCTCCAAAATCTACTCTTAGCCTACTAACTAATCCATCCAAACATATGCAGCCATCGCCATTCCGATAATAGAATGATGCATAGATATGATGATAAATATTGTTCTACGGTTAAGTCGGTTTAACGAGGATAAGCGACAACTAATGGGTCAGCGGTTCAGCGTGGTATAATGATAATCATATGCTACTCCGAATAACGAAGCATAACTAGATTAACTACTCAGCATACCCAGAAGCAATTAAAAATTTACTACCCTTTTCGTCAGGGAACGGAAATTATGCTGCGAATGGAACATCAGCTTATTTTGAAATGGAAGAGTAGTGATAATAGAGTTAGAAGTTACAGAAGTTATCATGTATGACTTTAGGTACGTCTGAACTGCAAGTTTCACATGAAGTAAGCTGCTGGCATGGACGTCTAGTCTCTCATTCAAATTCTGGTTTTGTCCTTGGACGCGACATATTTTTATCGTGACAATCAGGCAATCCCAAAAAAAATTAGTTGAAGCAGTGATGTGGCAAGGAGTAAAGAAAATGCGAGTGAAACAGGGCGAAAATTATATAGCAACGGTGCCATCGCCTAATTTTTTAAGACAACATACTTAGAAATCACCATTCTTTAACCTTTTAAAATTTAATACTTTATCAGATGAAACAGAATCTTGTGGACAGCAGATGCAAGAACTTGCGCTTAGATTAGATCTTTCTAGAGGGCTAATTGCAAAAAACTTTCAGAGAAAGTTCCAAATTCCACATTTTCGTCTTCATCAATTTGGTCGTGAGCGCTAATCAAAATCCAGGAGTCGTCAGGCAGCAATGACGTATGATTTTCATGAAATTTTTATCACATTGTCTGATATCGGTCGTCCGCTCCTCAAGTTTTGACTGATATCATTGAGAAAAATTTGTTTGTAGCGTAATGTCGTTGATCCAAACAGCCTGCTGGTCAAACATCAGTCTTTAAAATCTAGCGGTTAGAAGTGGCACATCTATCCAAATATGGAAAACCACTTTCCTAAAGGTATCTCATTTAAACTACTGTCGGTTCTTTCTGTAGCCTTGTTGTCTTCAGTGTGGTGAAGGCTGGCGGTACATCTTTTCGTCATCCTGAAGGTCGGCTTCTCACTGTGGTCTGATCCTAGCAGATGACATATTAACGAGTCCACGTATTACTGGTATTTTTGTATGCTCGTTACAGCGAATAAAATTCGGTCATTTTAGATATTTTGAGTCTGTGTTTCTTCCGTAGCAGGTTGACAAAATCACTGTGCAGGGGTGCCCAGAAGCAGCTTTGAGATTCTTTGGCTGATGTGCTACTTTTACCAAATACCGGAAACAGCACGACTGCCTGGTAACTACGTCTCGTCATGAGTGCTACCGAATAAGATACAATTTTCGTTGTCATTTCAAGGAGGGTCTTTTACATCCTTTTCATTATTAGTCGACCTCTTCTACATTACTTTCGGTTAATGCTCGAAATGTTTTGGAGCGTTAATTAAGTATGATAGCTGAAAAGCTCCATACTCTTTTCACATAAT